CCGGAAAGGCCCCCCGGGTTTGTTGCGGGAGCCTGCTGCACTAGCTAACGCTCCACCTAGCTTAGTGCTACATAGCAAAACAAACGCTTATTTATTTTGCAAAATGGTGCCGGCTTCAAACCGTCCTCCCAACTGGTTTCAACCAAGCACTAAATTAACAATGTTTGTCCAACCACAAGTACGGTTGTGAACTGACACTTCCCCATATTGATTTGTAAGTAGATTCCCAGAGAGATATATGAGTTTCTACTTGCCAGCAAGCTAAAGCTTGGTCTGCTAGGGTTACTAGCGCGGTGTCTCCTGCCAATAAGGGGCCGGGGGGCAAACCAAGGAGTTACGTGATTACTGGTTCCATGTTGATTTAATTCATACCAAATTGTTGGGGGGAAGCTGAATAGGCTATTACCGTACTGGTTACTTTGCAGCCCGGACATTTCCCAAAAACACATTTTAGAAGACGCTAATCGCAACACAAAGTACTCTTTCAAATCCGATCATTTTAAGACCTTCTAAATCATATTTAAGCCTTTCTTATATTTTTTGGTCCATATTTAAGAACCTTTTTTAAGGCCTTACATTCAGATTATCAAAAATGTACAGACTTTTTAAGACCCCGCGGGAACCTGAGGAGACTCAAATACGAAACATTATATGCCAGACACAGACGTGGTTCGAAACACAGAAATATTAAGAAAACAGACCTTAAGGCAAAACATCCCCCCCCCCTAAGTTTGATGGATGCTGGTCAAACTCAAACTACAAATAATTATTGTGTGTGTGTGGGTGTGTGGTGTGTGTTGTGTGTGCGTGTGTGTTTTGTGTGTGTGTGTGTGTTGTGTGTGGGTGTGTTGTGTGTGTGTGTGTGTGTGTGTGTGTGTGTGTGTGTGTGTGTGTGTGTGTATGTGTGTGTGGTGGTGTGTGTGTGTATGTGTGTATGTGTGGTGTTTATTTAGCAAAACCAAGGGCCAACATAGTATCTGTCCGGCTGTTTGCAAGAGCAACATGGGAAACAAAAGACAGTGTTTACCTCTTTTGCCTCCCAGCTCACACACACAGTTAAAATCACACTCCCTGTAATTGTAATTGACATAATAATAAGTAGTTTAGTCTTCTCACCATCATTTGCTGTGGCCGCACTGATGTTAACGATCGTAACTGAAAGGCTGCCTGTCCCAAACGTAAAACACTTCAGCCACGTGACTCGCAAACTCTCGCGAGAGTTTTACACAAGACGGATCCTTTCTAAGCCATAACCCTGCAACCGGGCGCTGACATATTGGCGCCCGGTGATCATCAGATTTTGACAACGCTGATTGCTGAAATTTATGTTTCGGAGCCATATCTTACAGATAGCAACAGTCAGCCTTCTAGTGGCTGCCTCTGCACTGGTTGAGGGCTCCTCTCTTAGCGCCCCGGACGAGAGAGGGTAATGATACACGGGCAAGGCCAAGGCCAGGAAACATGTGACTTACTACAGTAACTTTAGCATCGTAACACCATTTTAAACGAGATTTTATTGTAGATTATACATTGACTGATACCAACTTATATAATATTTACCTTGTCCATCTAAAAAGTTCGAATGAAAAAAATATATTTTTCCAAATATATTTAAAAAAAAAAAAAAAAATATTTTTATTTAATTTTAACTTGTTTTAATTTTCTCAATTTGTAATGGGAGAGGTTTGGGCCCCCGCCCCTAGCGCCCTATTGGGCCCGCCGCACTGGCAGTCTGTTAGGTAAACTAATTTGTCCGCATTTTGGCGAGCTCGACTGACTGCTGTCGTCATTGTTTTAATCCGAAACATAGCTAAATAAATCTATTTTGGCCTCGTGACATGTGCTTAATTGGGTTATAAGGTGTATCGTTCCGACCAGGCCTAATAAAGGTGGTGAGCCGTCGCATTTATGTAAAGATAAGTTCAGTGTAACTACATTAGTTTTCCAACCTATCAGTTAAGCAATTCGAATTTTTAGCGTCTAATATAGAACTGGCAAAGGGGCAACAGGTCATGGTGGTGGGCTGTTACAGACCCCTCCTCAGCTGGCAAGGACTCCTTGTCTTTGCTAGCAAATCTCTTTATCGCAACTAGACTACAAGGAAATAGCTTCTACTTGGAGATTTTAAGTTGGACTGGTTAACTGCAGTGTCAGAGGATGTTGAAAAACCTTTGTATTCTTTGAATGTTTACTCAGATTGTTGACAGTACTACTCGCCCTAAACATTAAGTCCCGTAAATAAATCTCCCTAATTTGATCTCATTTTTAACTTAATGCTCCTTATAAAATACTTATCTGTGGAGTATTGCGAATGATCTGAGTGATCACTGTGTTGTAGCCACAATAGGAACACTAAGGTCCAAAGGTTAAACCTCGTATTATTATTAAGAGAGACATAAAACATTTTTGTGGAGCAGGGTTTTGTTCATGATCTGTTTGGGTTTGATTGGGGAAAAATCGATCTGTGTGCTGATGTAGAAACTGCATGGTCTTATTTTTATCTTGGTTTTATGGAGATCATTGATAGACATGCACCCCTGCGTAAATTTAGAGTAAAGGTACAAGACAATCCTTGGTTTTCTGCTGAACTGTCCAGTCTCCTTCATGAGAGAAACGAGGCCTGGGCAAAGGCTAGGCAATCAGGCTCAGAGGTAGAATGGATGCGTTTTAGGCAGCTAAGGAATAGCTTCACTTCAAATGTCAAAAGTGCAAAGTCGAAGTACTATTTGTCAGTTACCACAGAAAGCCTAAATAATCCTTGGAAATTTTGGAAAGCCATAAAATCGATATCCACCGGTGAGATCCGTAATGAGCTACCTCCTTGCCTTACCACAGCATCTGGCTCTGTATGCTTTCTTTTTCAGAAACAAGTCCTGTTTCTCGCTTGAAGCCAGGAAAAGGCTGGTTACTGTGACCTTTTTACCTGTGCTGGACTATGGTGATTTGATCTATATGAATGCACTTGCCCATTGCCTCGAAAAGTTAGATGCCGCCTATCACAGTGCCCTGAGATTTGTTACTAACTGTAAAGCACTTACTCATCACTGTACCCTGTATGCCAGGGCAGGTCTGCCTTCACTAACTGTACGGAGGCTCAGTCATTGGTACATGTTCATCTATAAAGCCATGTTGGGTAAACTACCTTTTTATATCTGCTCTCTGATCTCTCAACGAATTGAAAGTACTTATTGCCTGAGATCTCATGATGTTGTTTGATTAAATGTGCCAAGTGCTAGGACTGTCTTAGGGAAGAAAGCTTTTAGTTGTGCAGCTCCACTAAATTGGAACAGTCTGCAAACATGTTTAAAACTGAGCACTTTGGTTCCCCTGCATCATTTTAAAACTCGGCTGGGTGACATGCTGTTTGATACTCATGGTACCTGTCACTGTAAATAGAGTTTGTAAACTGTACCCTGTACATTATGTTGTATGTCATCCTTATTGTTGTTCTGTTGTTTTTATGTTAGATGTGTAACTAATGTCCTGTAGGTCACCCTTGAAAAAGAGATCTTTTGACCTCAAGGGGCTTTCACCTGGTTAAATAAAGGCTACAAACAAACAAACAAACAGCAAAAATAACCCCACAACTAGACACAACAAAACTCAAACCCTGACAAATAATTCTATAAAAAACGATTTCCTTTAATGAGAAATGTGATAATCATACTAGAAAGGTAATTATTCGCAAAGCGCTAAGTGTGACATAACCAATGTGATGCATGCCTCTGTGAATCGTAACCACCGCATAATGTCATTTACACAGCAATAAAACCCAGCAGGATATATGAATTCTTACAACATAATTCCATGTTATTTAAATGATAAAATGTGTTCAACTTTGAAATGGCAAGTTCACTGTCATATTACAATTATTTATATCATATTGTTATAATACAGGGCAATGAGAGGAGCTGAACTGCAGATGTGAATGTCAACGCTCAACCAGGAGGACTAAACCATCACCTTCTGTGCATTACAGGGAACAAATCACTTCACAGTGCAGAGGATTTTATTGCAGTGCCCCATTCACTGCAGGGTCAGCCTTCTGTTTGCTTTTTGGCCAATACACTGCACTGTGTGTTTGTCCAAAGCGATTATCATCCATCTTTCATCACACTCTGTAAATCTGTTTATATTCCTCTGGTTTTACAGTAGATTTACTGACTTATCATGAAGACAGACAAGGCTGGCTTTGCTTTCGGATATATACAAATGGAAATTAATTTAAAATAGGAACATATCCTTCAGGATTACATGTATGTTAAAATATCTCAAAACGTGCTGAAACCCCCTGCTGTGAATGGGCTGCCACTGAAATAATTGCTCACCAAATTGTCTTCTTTATTGTCAAGGTAAATGGCTTTAATGTACCTTTCAATTTCACTAATTAACTCATGGCACTATATATAGATCCTGCCCGACACCATTTGAAAGGTTATGTATCCTTTGAGGTTAAGGACTGCCCTATTACACAACGGACTCTTTTTGTCACTTTGAAGGACATTAAACGACTTACAGGTTTTATCTGGAGTATACTCTAACCTTAATCATCATCACCATATGTCTAACCAAAGTACTTAATTGAAGAGTAGGATTTATAATTGAACGGGTTTGTCGGGGAACGGGTTTGTTGGGGAACCTGTTGTGTGCACAGCACGATGAAAAGAGAGCATACATTAATTAGATTTAAGCAACACAGTGGCTCTTATGTCACTTTTAAAACACTTGACATATAACTGTGTCTAAGTGTCGTATAAACGTTTTAGATGAGTGAGAAAAAACAAAAATAGGAGAACCAGCCTCCAGAGTCAAATGTGCGTAAAATGGATAGCGGAAAAGTGAATTTAGTGCTTTGCTATTCTGTTTTTGAAGTCTCCAAATCCTGTGGAAGAAATTAATCCAGTATAACAGTATTTTTTATCTCACACTTAACTGAGCCATAGCAGGGATGCAGAGCCATTGAGAGCTATATAATCGTATTAAATCATTAATTCAAGCTTAAGTAGGGCTTTTAATTACCTATAACCAGCAGATAGCATCCTGTGAAGATGTCCAGCGCCGGTGAGAGCGTTGAGCTGTAGATATCCATTGCTTCTACAAAATAATAGAAGTAAAACAGAGAATATATGATCCGAATTCGGGATGGAGAAAAGTCAAAATGTGCCGCTGTCGATGCGTTCCGGTGTCAGATCCATCTATCCTTAAGTATGGAGCAGAGACGCAAGAGTGGGTCTCGGGGCGCAATGTCGCGCCCTGGTGTTCCCGGCTCCAACTGAAGTTTGTGGCATGCAAAATGTGCTAGAGACATAAGCTACCATCAAGCGCCTCAATGCACAGATGCTACATCTAGGGCAGCATCGAGAGGCAATAAATGGTCACCCACATATTGTTGTGGTTTCCTCTGTGTTCATTATTAAAGCACAGCCGTGAGACAAGTATGATACGTGTTCAGGTTAAAATTAAAAGTTATGGCAAGACAGATATCTAAGCTACATTTCTTCACCTGTTTTCACTATTGAAAGGTCAAACCCTTTAGACAATTTTTCCCTGTTTTCTATGATGTTAAATTATTGCTGATTGGACCATTTTAAAGGGATACTTGTTTTGCTCTATACATACATAACTTGACAATATAACTTGCTGATTCAAGCTAAATCCTTGATGTACTTTGTTTTTAAAGTGATAGGAGAAATTAAATCTCACTTGAAAGAAAACACTAATGTTTTTAGTCCTGTGAAAATGGGGCAGCCTCTTGTGGCCGAAATGCATGTTACAACAACAAACGTATTAAAAAAAAGAGATAACCGGCGGGGGCCTTTCTCATTTCTCTAACTCCCCTCCTCGACTCCTATCCTCGAGACTTAGTCCCGCCCACAGGAGATGCGAGCGGGGGAACCGAGAAGAGAGGAGGGGAAGCAACTATGGAATGCCATTTAAGCCAAAATTAAATAAATAAATAAATACATCAATAATTAAATAAATACATATATATATAAATATGCCTATGAAATAAATTATGAAATAAATAAATGAGGCAATAAATATGTATACAATGTACATTTAAATACACATTTATTTATTTCATGGGACTTTTATTTCATAATGAGACATTTATTTCAAGAGACTTTTATTTCATAATGACACATTTATTTATTTCAAGAGACTTGTATTTCATAATGACACATTTATTTATTTCAAGAGAATCGTATTTCATAATGACATATTTATTTATTTCAGATGACTTGTATTTCATAATGACGCATTATTTATTTCAGGTGACTTGTATTTCATGATGAGACATTTCATGATGAGACATTTCCATTCCTTATATGCAAATGAACGGGGCGTGGTTAGCTCACAGATCCAGAGACCCAGACCAAAGCAACAGCACCACAAGATTGACACTAACTGGTTCTTCTCTGGTCCGCCCAATGCTGCTCTTCTGAGAGCAACCGCTCTGACAGCTCTCTCTAGTCTCTACTGGGAAACAGCTAAAAGTCCTTCTGGAGGTAAGCAATGCAACACAATTACACCCAGTCTGAGAGTAAAATATTTCTCGAAGGTTCGTTTTGCTTTCTTACAACGTGAAGTTAATGTTAACGTAACCTTAAGTTTGCTAGGAGGCTATTGTTACGAGCTAGCTGTCTTAGCTAACAACAGTTAGCAGCTAACGTTTTCTGCAGTTTGTGTTGTTCTGAAAAACGTGATGTAGTTATTTAAGGGTATGTTAAATTAACGTTATTTTACGTTGTTTAAGTTGAAAGAGTTAAGTTGTGTTTAAAATCGTCAATCTAATGCACGTTAGAGGTTTTTAGTTGGACATGAAGTTAGCTAACGTTAGCTAACTCTACCAGGTTAGCATATTAAGCTGTACTTTCTGTGGCAGCTAGCTTAATACAAAGAGGGATTTTGTGCTTCATTGCAAACTTTTCTTTGTTAATCTACCTGAAACTGTAGCGACAGTTTGTTTCTACTCAACTATACAGACCATTGTTGAGGAGATGCAAAACATACTGTACATGAGTTGGGTCCAACATATACCTTGAGTAATGTTACTTTGCTGCTAAAAATGAAACATCATTATCAGATGAGGACATCACCAAAGTGTGTGAGTCTGTCAGGGGATTTGATCTGCTCTCTGCATGTCGTACACACTGCTCTGGTATTACTTATCTTGTAAAATGTAAGTCTCGCTCTTGTCATCGTTCAGGCTTTGCATTTGAACTCCTATGACTGGTTGCGGACTTGAAGGGAACGCCTTCCTGACATCCAGGAAAAAGGTGAGATTCTAATACATTTGAATGCCAAAAGCAAGTTATTGTTTTAACTTTTTAAATATGATTGTTTTGGGGCATTTCAGTTTTATTGGACAGAGGCAGTAGAGATCTACTGGAAACAGTGGAGAGGGAGGAGATGATATGCAGCAAAAGGCCCAGCCGGATGGTTGCTGCTCCGTGTGGAACGTGTTCTATCAGGTAAAGCACTTTGGTAGGCTACCCAGTTATTTATGGTATTGAGTTTGAATTTAGCCTTTTGGAATGTAATTTCCAACAGTGCATTATAAAGACTGAAAGATGTAAAGCTTGACATGATTTCGTCTTTTACTTAAGAGGATGTTTGTCCTCCTGTGTTGTCTTATTCCTTATCTCTTTCTTTCAGGTGTAACATCTACCAATGGTACATGACAGAGACCTCCTCCACCTCTTTGCTGTCTTACTAGTCAATCCTTCTGATCAGGTCCTTTCCTAAATAGTGGTAAGTTTTACAGTTCAGTGTACGTTAATTTAGCAACTTAATGCTTACCGCTGTTGAATAAACCCTATATTGCTAGTCATTTTATTAAAACTACGATTTGTAAACTTTTGATTCCAATTACAATTAAGTTATAATTGTAAAACATATCTTAACATCCATCAGCAATCAATACAACAAATCATCCAACCACTAAATAGAAGAAATCAGGACCTATTTCTTTTTATACAGCAGCATGTTTTGGGACTGCTCATTGATGTCATCAAGAGCCATTGAGTCTACCTTTTGTAGTCGGCCTCTCAGAATGTTTATCATTTCTTTGTCTCTTAACATTCTATATAATTTTTTTTTTTTATTGTTGACATTGTTTTGTTCTTTATTTTTGGTTGTGAGAATCACTTTGCAATTATTGTGTAAGTGCTATATAAATAGTTATACTAATATTATTGTTGTTACCTCATTACTATTATTAATAATGTCTTCTTTGTTTTCTTTATTTATCGCTGCAGAAAGGATCATGCCAGCCCACATCAAACACCTGATCAAGAGCTTGTGAACCTCACTGCTGCGGACACCTGTGTGATATTCGACTTCTGACTGGAACCCTCAAAATGACCTGCAGGTACGATATATTATTATCTGCTCCTGTCCTGTCCCTAAAGATAAGTTTCAATAGGGCTACAAACAACAAACAGTCTTTCCGGTTTATTCCCTCGGTTCTTTAAGTGTAATATCTTTCCCATTTAATGCTTTAAAAGCTTTGCTCTTTTGACCCCTCTTTTTAAATTTTTTATTTCAGGCTCAAGCCTCGGTGGTCGCATTTTGGCCGACAGTCTTAAGGCGGTGGAAGGTGTTACCGTCTGAATCACTAGAAACTATGAGAGGGAAAAGCCTGGATAAGCTAGTCATATAATTGGCTCGAGGGCTTGGAACCGTGCTGTCCTGCAGAGCATGAGTGGGAAACAAAGAAGGCAACAACAACGGGGCGTGAGAGAAAAAAGAAAATCTGTCATATTCTAGATGCCAAAGTAATTTTTTGGGTCAGTCCGCTGTTTTGCAAGTTAACGACTTAGTTTTAATTTCAAAAAAAAGTTTTTTTCTAAAATCACAACTGTGTAAATGTACCTCTCTGCGTCCGCCCTTTAAGCCGGTCCAGCAGCTTTCTCCCAAAGGAAATGGAGATCGGAGCGACCCTTGCTGAAGCAAAAGAAAACTACGCAGCCATCATATGACGAGGAACGACGAAGGCAAATCGCTTCTGCGAGGAGGACACCGACCAGATCCTGACAGCGAAGAGCACAACCATCATCACCCAAATCAACCACATCCAACCAGCATATGTTCTTTAAGCAGCAACTACGCCATTGGCCTCTTTGGTGAGATACCAAAGGTATTGGTTTATTTGAAAATGTTAATATGGATGAAAGAAATGTAATAATTAAAAAACCTAAGGGAAATGGGGTACGAGCCCCCAAGTATTAACGGGGCCACGGACGTGAATTATTAAAGACCGTTGCGTACCGTTAACGTCCCAACGTTTAATCGATCTTTTTATCGGTACTGGAGACATTTAAACAATAAAGATTGTCATATGTATTATATCTACACACAACATTATATCGCAGTCTTAACTGTCGGCCCCAACTTCGAGTTTTCCTAATATGCAATAAAGAACTACAAAGTGCGTCTACATGGTATTATTTATTTTCCAATATGCCAATGCAAACACACAACACATCACACAACACAACACAACACAACACAACAACACACACACAGAACTACAAACACAACACACACAAAACACACACACACACACACACACACACCACAACACACACACAGCACAACACACAAACACCACACACACACACACCACACACAAACAACACGTTTTGTGCCGCACTCAAACACATGGCGGAAGAGAACTAAGACCGACCCGAGTGTAAAAGTTATGTTAACCCGTCTTGGAGCATGGATGTATAAGTAAGAACTGGATACAGCGTCGGAAGGCGGGGTCCTTCCGTCTTCTTCCTATGAGAAGCTGCTCATGGGCCGCAATGAAGTCAAAATGCCCAACTTTTTGAAGAGCGAAACGTCACAGAATTAACCCAGCATGGCCCCTGGCTGTCAAAGCAGGCAGAAAGAACCCGTTTTTGTCGCGCTCACAGAAGCATGCGCCCCTTAAAGCCGCACCAGCCCGAGCACAACACTCTCGGCTCACTAGAAAAGAATGGAGAAGAGAGAATACAAAAATCTAGAATTAGCGGCTTTTTAAGTGCAATTTTACAAACTTTAAGGACTTCAATGATTCTAGGGATTATACAATAGTTTTATAACTGGGGTAAGTTTATTTAGTTTCAAAAAAATTATCCACCGATTTACAGACGTCTCTTTCCCCAATGTTAATTCAAGGGGAAAAAGTATTTCCTTGCCCGGTCGACGTCAACAGACTGATAAGGAAATTGTGAGTAAAGCCGTTTTGGACAACAACGAATATTTTCCCTCAGAGTCCGCACCGCACTTTCCTGGGGGCTGGTCTTGAGGTGAAAAATGCTCCGTTGCCAAAAGTGCGAATAAGAAGGTTTTAAGCCAAGTATGTACGTATGTAATGTTTAACTCAATGATACAAAATATGGGGTTTAATGACTAGAGGTAACTGAGTTTATTTATTTTGTAAATCACAACTTATACTTATGCAACTTCTATCATCACGATAAATTAACAACGAAATTATTACAACAACTTGTTTCTTATTCTCAGTACTACAAGCAGAACTGTACAGAAAAGACGTGAGCACCAAGAAACGCTGGCCAGATTGGCAAAGACAGCAAGATACATAACAGAGAGATAAGGATACTAACAAGAAAAATAATGTTTATAATCTTTGTTGGTTTACATTTTGAACATAACTGTGTATATAAATCCAAAGCCAATCTATCGATAAATAGATAATTTTACTCTCAGACTAAGTGGAATTGAATAGGATTGATTAACTCATAAGTATCATTAAATAAAAATACTGTTATGAGACTAATACAATGTCTAGATTCGATAGTTACCGAGAATACATTGTGCGATTTAAGATAACAGTAAGCTGCAGTTGATAGAGACATGCTTGGCGGTCCTGCTGGATCTGCGAGCGAGACACACTATTCATAAAGAAAGGAAACGAAAGGGAGCCAATCATGATAGTCTACATCATGAATAATAAGTCACACAGCATTGAATGTACGATGCATGTCATGAGAAAAGTAAGTGCCAAGTGTAGCAACTGTGGAGTTAAAGAAAATGTGCAACATCGTATACAGCTTGAAAGAAAAACTAAACGGATCACGTATGAAAACAGAGAGGGATGGAGTGTGGTTGGTATTTGGAACAAAAGGAGAGGTACAGAAGAGTACAAGAAAAGCACTGTTACCTAAATGAAACTGGGGTATAAAATTATCTAACATTAGGTCAGGAAAGATCATAGAATGTTGATTTAAGTACAATGTTACATATTATGTTGCTCATTTATTATTCATGGATATGATCATAGCATATGGTCCATGAGTTAAGAGATGGAATGATATGATGATTCACACTCATGTACAGTAGGTGGGCGGTATGCACCTTAAAGTTATTTGCAATCCGCCAAAAGCAACCCAGAGAAGCAGAAGCTCAACTGCGTCAGACAACAGCGACACGTTACACCGAAGAAGAAGAAGCGACATTCTGACCGGGTGACAATTAGAGTATCAGATAGTACGGTGCATATCTGCATCTGAGAAAAGCGCCTCTCCGAATTATTGAGAGAAGCAGCCCAACGGCGCGTGGTTGATGACCGGACGCATCATAGGTAGCCGAGCATAAAGCCTGAAATATCCAGAGACGGCCAGTCCTGTACCTGAGCATGAACCAACTTCAGTCAACATCTTCCACACGTACGCGGTGCTCAGTCAGTTGTCAAAGTATTTAAAATACGTCAGGTCGTATACACAAGAGAGATTATCAGCCCGACTACGTCAGATAAATACAGTCTATCGATATGAACAACACAATAATACTGTATGGTAAAACAGTGTTGATCAAGTGGACGAAGGATAGCATAGGCATCTTGGAGCCCACAGATCATACATGTTCACTTGCCCCGCCTTTTATTTTCAATTACAACTTTGGCGCTATGAAGAAATTCTCCTCCATATGTTCTCTTCCACGTTCATTAAAGCATAAAACAACGCATCAGAGCCGCGCAAGCTCTAGATGAGTCAATTAAATCCTTTTTTCTTATAAATCATCCATGTGCGTTAGAAACACCTGTATGTGTTTCCATATTCACCAACAGCAGCAAACGCACACAACCGAACGCCGCTGCGCTCATTAACACCTTCAGATAGTGGTAAAGTGCAATTCGGATTTCTCTAATAGTATCCGCAGCTCTTCCCTAGTATTGTCCTTGTTGAAATTTCCTATCGCATCTAACCCTTTAACCCCGTGACCGTTCACCTCAGAGGTCAAGGGAATAGAGATAGGGTTAGAATTAAGACTGATTTATTGGATTACGGAACGCAAACCCAAGACTGGTTCGACTCCGCAAAGCAAAGAAGAAGAAGAAGATCTCGCAATTAAAGCAAAGAAGAAGAAGAAGGAATACTGATTTATCCTCCCAATAAATATAAGATG